TTTACTAGTACAACATAATAATTAGCGGACTTGTTAATCCTGATTGATACATGATTCACAGTACCGCTGGCCAAGCAGTATACTTTTACAACACTTGAGCTGTTATAGTTACATTTAAGATATTCTGCTCTGTTGTTAAGCAAGACTAGTTGTGCTGGGCATTGAGAGGAATTTGAATCAGACACTGTTAGGGTATAATTCATGATAGACCCAGGGAGGAGATACACTGGATTATCACCATTATTAACATTGTATGGGGCACAATGCCCATCACTTTGAAAAATTTTAGTACGATTAATAATTTGTGTTCCAGTTGGTGGAATAGACAATGCCATGAACTCTGTCACTCCAGAAGGAATATTCAGCGAAACTGAATATACGTTATTAGGTACAGGAATGAGTGCACTACTGGACTGTTTATCACCAATCTCCATCGACTGAATAGTTGAAATAGGCGAAAGATATGAGATTCCAATGCTGATACCAACACCAACTAATAAGAAGGCTAGTAAAGCTATTGGTACCGAAATACAGAAAATTGCTCCTGAAATAAAATATCAGTTATGTACATGTATACTCAATCATTATACCTTTGGGATGTTTTTGACAGACACCACATAGCTTTTTTGAGACTATAAATTTTTTATTATGATTATTAATTAGCATTAAAAGTCTTACTTGAAATCAATGTGTAGTCACTTATTGATAATTTTTGTGTCATAAATAGAGCCATTTCTCCTGAAAGAGAACCTAATGAAATGTGAATGTTATGTTAATCATAACACTGACTGATTCCTTACTAAAGCCAGACTCTTCTCTTAAAAATTGATTAACTGCATAAGTGAAATATAAGTGTCACTGATAATTAACTATACTTACCATCATCTCTATTATGTAGCCAGTCAGTGTTATGCAAGTGCTTAAAGAATCTTGCACCATTGAATTCCTGTGCCACTGAGGTAGAAATACTCACCACATCCTTAAATGACCTCCTCTTACAAACCTCTTCAATTATCTCAAGTGGTGTTCTCTGCTGGGCTAGCAGTGATGATCCTTCTTTTGCAATATTCTTGATTGCTCTACTGGCTGCTTGTTGATCATTGAAGGAGATTATGAAATTAACAAGAGCCAGTCTAAGTTCAATGCCTTCAGCTTTCACTTGAGGCAATTGAACTGTGCCACGATCTGGTGTAAAGAAAAGGGCAGGATTAACTTTCAATCGTTTGAAGGTGTAGTTAATGATCCCTGAAAAGCTATTATTGTCCCTTTCAAGCTTTAACAAATGCTCCATCAGGCTCGGTGCCGTATCTTGGAATATTCCATTTACATATGAGAGGATCATTAGAAGGACTTGTGATTGGAAGTTATCCAGCTTTTCTTCGATATCCCTTGGAACTGTTGTAGGAGCAGACGAATTTGGAGAAGCCATCGTGTCACTTTAACTCAGTTTACTGACAGAGCAAATCTTTATTTATAATATTGTACTGCGTGGGCGGGACGCAGGTCAGCCCACCTATAGACCACCCTAGGCGTGAATTGGAAAAGTTATGAATTTCATTAATTTTATATACGGTACCCGCCCACAGATCATAATTGGCTGCCATTTTGGTTGGCAAGTTTATTATTATTATTATTATTATTATTATTATTATTATTATTATTATTATTATTATTATTAAACACTTTACAGGTAAGAAATGGGAAGGACAAAAAATAGGGGTTAGGAAAGAGTACCTGAACTGAGGACAAGTAGCCGAGGAGCCACAAGCCAAAAGAATACAAATAAAACAATATAAGAAATGTGACAATAGTAGCATTAATAGAAGAATAATTAAAAATAAGTGTAGTTACTAGAAGAACAAGACAAACATTTGTTACAGGTACACATAAAATAAAAAGAACAAGGGTTGTTACTGTCAAAATGCTCCAGAAAATGGAGCCAGAGAAATTTCTTTAATTTGATACGGAGGGTCTCATTTGATAAAGAGAGGTCAAAAGAGGGGAGCTTGTGGAAGTCAATGGAGGCACAAAGAAAATGCCTCACTTACCTGCTCAAAGTTTAGCTCTATCAATAGCTAAAAAGTGCTTGCTATAAGAAAGAACAGATGCCTCTAAGCTTCTCCTGTCAAGGATTTGGTCAAATTTGGTCCAGAAATCTTAATATAGGTTTGTTTTTATGTCGGCCCGTTTGTTCTCCATTGAAAGTTGCCAACCAAAATGGCGGCCGGAATCATAGATAATAGAGTAAATGAAAGGGATTGGCAACGGAAGCGTGGGCGTGGGCAAACCTCCATTCATTTGTATTGTTGCTAGGAGGGTTGGGATTTTTTGACCGATTTTGGAGTAAAAAACTGGGATTTTCTTGCTTTATTCTTGAATAACTCCAAGAGAATACAATTCATGCAAACAAAACTCACACACAATACTAACCAATGTTTATGCTTTTTATTAATATTTTTTGTTCAGTAAATCAATGCATGCGTTAGTAGCTGCGTCACTCTTTAACTAGAAAAACCATCTTTTCCCCCTCTGAGAGACTCATTTTGTTCTTGAGCTACGAATAAGTATAACCATTTTAAAGAGCTTGAAATCTCCTGTGGAATGAGCTAACTTGCATATTGATACAATGAAGCTTGAGTGTTTTACGAACGATAAAGTGTTTCAAAAACCAGGCGACTTTGTGTACCTCTAACTGGTTGCAAAATGGCTTTTTGGAGATAAAAAC